GAAAATTTAACCATTACAATTTACACAAATTCTTTATACAGCAAATTATCATACTTATGCGTTGATCAAACGATTATCGTTGGAAAATGATAGAAAAATAAATAAAAGGATTAACTGCAGAAAATTACAAGGATATGGAAAAAAGCAGCTAGCGATAACATTGAAAGGACAAGCAACCAAGCTTTCCCGAAAAATTGTCTCAATAAATAAGATTTTGAATACCTCAACAAATTGAGCTTAAAAATTGATATTCTAAATAGAGATTTTGGGTTAGAACTTTAAAACCAGTGAAGTGATTTAAAAAGTAAAAAAATATTAGTGACTGAGTTTTAATTCAAGTCCTCACTGTCCTAGCACCTTATATTCAAGAATCAAAATAGTTGCCGTTAAGCCGCCAGGTGCTGGATAAATTACCTTGTATTACATAACACATATTAGTTATTCAAAAAAACAAGAAGTAATAAAAACATTAATTTTCCAATAACAAGTACCAACCAGTTCAGAGAGATCCTTCTGCCTTGTAGACAAGCTTTCATTACGTAGCTAATTACATAACAAAATATTAGGAAGAAAAGACTGTAGTGACACAAAAAGGCATCAAATGCTGACAGAACTTAGAAGCCAGAACTAGTAGATACTAGATTGTTACTTCTCACGTTCTTCTAAGAAAGACAGTCTTTCACCGGCATTCCCATCCCCACATTGAAACTATGGTGCTATTTGAACACCATGCACTAATGATTTTCCGGTTCTGAGCTACGTTCGTTGGGCGTTAAATGCCTCCCTGCCATATAGGAAAATATGGAAGTGTAAGTTACAACATTTTGAAAGAAAATACAGCATAGACTGGACTTGCATCTGTACATTCTATGGTTTGGCATGTTAATATTATAGATCTAAAGCTGAAGTTTGGAAAGAAACTGCTACCAAAATGCGTGTTCAAGCTCCTCATCTTCAAGGTCCAACTTCCAACCATCATAAAACGCGTCGGCAGCTTTCTCAAATTCCTAAGCAATTATGTATCATGAAACCTAGATTACCGACCACTGAGGTTCAATTTTAAAATAAGAAATATGAAACTGCTTGAGATTTTCTTACTTTCAACAACATCCATGCCACACCAGCCCTGTAGTAAGCCTTCGCCCAGCCAGGTCTTAGCAAGATGCAACAATGAGCATCTTTTAATGCCTCCTCTCCCATTTCCAATTGGGCCCAACACAAGCTTCGGTTGGATAGTGCATCTGCATCAGTAGGAGAAGCACGGATCACCTGCAATGTCAACCAGAACAAAGTCTCAAGCCAAAACAAAAAGACATATGACCTCAAGCTAGGATTGGATTTAGTAACAGTCTCATCACAAAGTTTAAACCCAAATAGCACATGAACACAATTTCAAAAAGAATAGCAAGGCCTGCCAGATATACCAAGGCATATACTAACTTGTTTTAAGAGAAAAACATAATCAAGAAATCAAGGAGAGGCCTCCCAACCTTTGTGTACCAATAAATAGCACCCATATAATCTTTTTTATTGATAAGCTCTTCTCCCTTGGATTTTGAGAACAAGGTATCTTCCTTCAAGTGTCTCTCTCTCTGCAAGACATTACAAACACGGTAAATACAAAGGTCTTGACCAAGCGATCCAGATGCAAAGGAACGCTTGAGGAGTATAAAATCAAGCTAAACATGATTGGTGAGGCATAATACAAATCAATCATAATAGAAATCAATCAAAAGAACCTTTCACTGATGTTCACAAACCATATATTGCAAATCGATGGTCCAACTTGTGTTAATACATGATATTACTTCTGTTAACGCGAAGGATGATTGAACCATTTTAAAATTTGAGACAACGTGATTATAGCATATAACTGGAAACTTCACATTTTCAGTTGAAGTTTAGAGATAAATTTAGAGACAAAAAGTACATGTATTCCAGTCTTATGTTTCTAATAGATGAAGGTCGATTTAAACATCATTAAATAAAACCCTAAATCCAACACTGGCAAACTAAAGGAATTAAAATTGAGATCTGGCAGTACCCCTTCTTCACCCTCTTTAGAATGAACATGCCTCATTATTCCAGCGTAGCTCCAGTCAGATATAATTGGAATGGGAGAAGTAACTGGAAGGAGAATCCTAACAGCCTCGTGATTATGATGCAATGCTGCTTCTTCAACTGGTTTCACCCCTGTTAACTGTAACATAGAGTAGCTTTAAATTTACCAAGACTGAGATATCTGAAATAAAAATAAAGTGGACAGTGGCCACTCAAAGTTTATCAGACATATAAGGCTGGTGTCGACTAACATTATCAATGACATTTGGGTCAGCTCCAGCACTCAATAGACACTGAATAATTTCAGTTGATCCTCCCGAAGCTGCCAGTGACAAAGGTGACATTCCAATCGGACCACTTAAGTTTGGATCAGCCCCTGCCTATATACAGGGAAATATAAGTCACCATGACAACATTGAGAGAAAAGATACATAAAACGTGGAAATATTGGTTGAGCACTTAGCAATTGGTCAGCATTATGTCTTTAGATGCTCATGCTACTGCCCAGATGTCCTTCCCCCACACTGCCACCACTCCACCCCCACCCCCAAAAAGAAGAGAAGGTTAAATGCTAATTTTGGTCCCTCAACGTTGACCTTTTGCATAGTTTTAGTCCCCCAATTTTTTATGCACTTTTTTAGTCATTCCATTAAATCCATTAAGTATGTCTATATATGCGCATTTTTAGTCCTTGAACTTTTAAGTTGAGGAACAAAAATTCTGCAAAATCCTAAAGTTGAGGGACTAAAAATATACATATATAGACAAACTTAATGGGTTAACTGACGATAATACTAAAAAAGTGTATTTTTCATAATTGAGGGAGCAACCATGCAAAATCCTGAAGTTGAGTGACCAAAATTGACATTTAACCAAAAGAGAAAATGCATTGGCCAGAATGTTTCTTACTGCAAAGCAATGCATTACGAGATACAAAAATTAGCATTGACTTGTATGTACTCATTCAAATCATTGACGGATAAAACATAGGAAGCACGTCTCTAGAAGTTACATGTAACATTTAAAAATGATTCTCATAAATTGCAAGCATAAATTAAAAAGAGAAAAGAGAAAATGTTATACCTTAAGCAACAGCTTCATGCATTCAATGGATTTAGCTCCAATAGATGTCATCAAGGGAGAATGTATATCATGAACAATCATATTTGGCTACACAATAATGAGAGAAAGCATGTGGTAAGACACAAATCAAACAATATTTTGAGGGAATTTACTCATTTGAGGACACTGTGTATCATTTTTGATAAATTTTAACCATATTAAGTTTAGAAGAAAGTAGAACGACAATATGGATAATGAAGAAGACAAAAGATTGATAAAAGCTACATTGCCAAACTATATAATCCCAGCTCAAGCGGCTGAACTCATTTGGTTTTGTTTGAATGGATGATTATTAGTCAGAATTTCATAGTGAGGGAGAATGTCAAAATACTGTTCCAATTTATTGTCTAGGGAGAGAATAGTTTAAAGAGAGGGCGAGGGAAACTTTAAGAAGGGATCTCACCAAAAAAAAAAAAAAAAACCCCCTCTTTTGTGTTATTTTACAATGAAAAGTTTTTCACGAAAATCAGAACCATTTCACATGAAACGGTAACTTGGGAGAAAAAAAATGAAATTCTTCCCACCATGAAACCCTTCCTAAACATTCATCATCTAAACTGAACCAAGGTGTTCCTGGAATAATATATGATAAAACATGACTCTTACATCAGCATGGTTATCCAGCAAAACCTCAACACAATCCTCATTGCCACAACCAGCAGCAAGATGCAATGGAGTGCCACAATCAGCTACTGCATTAAGGTTGGCACCTTTTGATATCAACAACTTCAAAAGTTTCTTAGATCCTGCAACAATCATAGCAGGCAAGAAAAGTTCATACTGCATTATAAAACAACGCAAATTGGAAGAAAAGAACAAAGGCAAGATACACAATCACTACTCTTAAGCATGACTCAATTAAGAAATTCAATGTCCAAAGATATAATTCCACCTCACAGAATTATCGAATTATTTACAGCTTTAATGAAGGGTGGAAAGGCTCTATTGTTTTATAAATGTAGAAATCCTTGATATGCACTCTGAAACCAAAGGAAATCATCCCTGATTCCATGCTCTCCCCAAGTAATTGGACTCAAACATGAAAACTTGAAAATGATACAATACAATAAAACACATAAGCAATTCCTTCTCTCATACTACTAGAACATACTTCCATTACATGAGTATCAGAACAGCAAAATAAAAGTAAAATGGTCAGTTTTCATCATAGAGAAGTTTGCATACCTCCACTTACAGCACAATGCAGAGGAGTCAGCCCAATAACAGCATGAGCAGCATTTGGGTTTGCACCCTTCTTAAGAAGATAAACAGCCGTGCGATAATGACCACATTTACTTGCATAATGTAAAGGACTCTCACCTGTAAAAGCAAGAACATAAGCTAGAATATATAATGAACGACACCTTCCTGAAATATTTGCCATAAAAATGTCAAAGAAATACCTGTCTCAAATCCATTATTTAGGAACAAGACGTGACTAGCTTTTCACTTACTAATCTCCCCATGAAAATACCACTCTTTTATCTAAACTTACCTAGACTACCAAATGATTTCTGATCTATACCAAGCAAAGACTTCAGCAAGATCATAATTTCAAAATAAGAGATTGAGAAAGATGAATTCCCAAACGACCAAATGATTTCTCATCCGTACCTAGTTCCTCCCTCAAATCGACGTCAACTTTTACTTCCTCCACAAGATACTTGCAGACCTTAGTTTGTCCACCTGCAGCGGCCACATGAAGAAGGGTTGCACCATCGTCATCCTTTATACTCGCGATTGCTTCCGGTAAACCATCTTTCGCATCAAGGAGATTCAACAGCCCTGCTTTCAGCATTTCCAAAGTACAAAAAATTAAATCAGCAATAGAGAAATTCAACTAGCCAAAGAATGATAACTAGGATGCTGCCATTACTCTTGACCAGCGGCAGGTCACCGAAGTAAGCTGCATGGAACAGGCGATACGGCTCTTCACCTTTACCTGCAGATACCGAACTACATTAGCAAAAACACAGCATCTAATCTAAGAAACATCTGCTCCACTGACTTCAATTTTTTTTTTTTTTTTTTGAAATTTTGGAAGGAAGAAAACGAAAGACCTAGAGGAGGGACGGAGGCCATTGGAGAAGACGTCTTTTTCTTAGAAAGATGAGACGATAGTTGATTACTTGATTCTGGAAGACCGATGTCAACAGGAAGGAAGATGAAATGCAATAGGTCCTGGAGCCTTAGCTAGGTGAGACCATAAGTGATGAGAGAAAATGAATGACTGAGCTGCTCGAGGACTCGAGTTGTCTTTTCAGGGACTTGTGGC